GAAACATCCAAACTGCGGTTTTGGCGATGAATTAATTTTATTTACAATCTAGGCTCGAGTAGTAAATTTACATTTTTTATGTAACAGAATTTATCGTGAGGCAAGTTCAGACCAAATTCTATTATATCCTTAAAATTATATTAAACAGCTTCTCGTTTAACGAACCTACAATTCAATTATAATTAGACAATAAGAAACACGCAAAAAAGTTGATGCTGAGTGCAAGGGTTCAATAGCGCAGTAAATATTAGAATATATTGCAATGCAATAAGGTGATAAAATTCATATTCTATTCGAGGGATTCATCACTGCTTAATATTTGTAGGAGTGTATCTTCTTTAAGAATATCTTCATCAAAATTTGACAAACCATGCGATAACATTCATTTCGATGTTTGGAAGTACATATGTGTGCGAACAATTATTTTCGAAAATGAGCATTACAAAGAACAAGGTAGAACTAGGATAAGTGATGCCCATTTAGAAAATCTTCCAATCTTGGCGTCATAAAGCTATCAAGCGTGATGCAGCAACAAGACAGTGTCACATTATATGTCATTGTAATAATTTTTTAATAAGACGACTGAGTTGGCGGTTTTTGCCCGCTGTTCCGTTTTTAACTTTCAAAAAATATATGCGACCCGCAAAAGATTAGCAACCCTAAATGTAAAATGGGGTGAATTTAGGGAGTTAAATGCTATAAGGCAAGAGTACACGGCGGTTTTTGAGGAGGTAGAACCCTAGATTCTTTCATTTCCGACCGCTAATATGATGAGGGGTTTTCAGCTGTGCTACTATTGCTATCAAAACAACGAAATCCGGGTCATTTCCATCATGAAACCGGGTAATTTTGGATATTATAAAAAAACTCGCGGAAGAACACCAAGCTTATCCATCTCATTAAAAATACTATAAACTGTGGTTTGTCTCGTTATTTGGTCTGTAATATATTCGTTTCAGACTTTACATTTTTTTCGCAGTGCCGGGGGGCGATGAACTTGTATAAACTACTTTAGGGGGGCGATGGTACAAAAAGTTTGGGAACCACTGACCTAGAATACTCTGTGTGTGTGTGGAAATAGTCATTCTTGTGTCACAATGGTGTGGCGGCAAGGCGCAGAAGATGCTTTTTGTTGTTAGGTCATGCGGGTTAGAAGGCGAAAAACTGATAATGCAAATATTGCAAATCCCAGGGAGGATATAACGCCTCAAATGTTCAGGAAATGAATGTATTTCTGTTGCAGGTTATATAGTATTAAACCGTATGGGATGTGCATATTCTTCTGCCTATTTTTTAAAGTCCGAAATTGGTAAAGTTCGTGCATATTCTATTATTTTAACACCTACGGAATATCTACATTTGATGCCGAGCCATTTAATATACTTTGGCATAAAATCTCATTGTGAGCGCACCACAACGATGGAGTTTCTGAAAAAGTGAGAAGGAAGTGTTGGTGTCCCTTTTTGGATGACAGTGGTGATTAAATTAATTATGTTTTAAATACTTAACGAACAAAGTGACTATAACACAAGTGAGGACAACCATTGGTAACGTTATAAGCGCTTGTGTGACGTCACCCCCGCCATTTTGGGTCCAGAGTTCTATCGCTGTATGAACCTAACTGAGTGATTTAAACCTGCGATCGTTACAGTTGAATAAAAAAAACGATGCTCAATAATTCAGACCAAACATTCGCAGCAGCAAAAAGAATGAACATTCTTCTGAAAAATTAATTTTCCACAGACTCGGCTCGGCGGTATGGTCAGCATATACGAAGTTAAGGTTAAAGTCATCCAACTTAACTCGATAAATCAACACCCAATAAGACCAAAAATATTAAACAAAGAGATACACATTTTATTATATGAGTTCCTGATGTAAGTATCGCTCAGAACGACAATACCAATTACACTACAAAAACTCATAACTATTTGTACATGATAAAATTTTCAACACGGTGTACATCATCAAAATATATCAAAAAAATATACTACATGCATGGAATGGTGAATTAAGCTCTTGCTGCAGTTTTATTGGCATATTATTGTTTTTCAATAAGTTTATTTGCCATTTCATTTACGTGAATATTTAACCTTATATTAAGAAAACGTTTCAAAATTTTAAAAGCGACATTTTGGCAAGATGGGAAATTATATTTTAAGCTGTCAACTTTATCTGTCACAAAAGTAACTTGGTGAGCATATATTATGAAAGTTATAATATTACAAATACTTCATTCTTAATTATTATTTTTGAAGTTGGCCATAAGGAACACCATTATTAATGTCAGTGTTATTAAAATTTGTCGCAGTTGGCAACTCTACTGGCCATAGACCGGTCAAGGATCCATAATCATTTGAAAAAAAAAATTTATTTAACGTATCGGCGTGTTCTCAAGCAACGCAAAACATACAACTTCTGTCAGCTTACCTACTTCACTTCTCATTCCCAGAAAGAATATAACTCCGTCACCAAGTCGATTTTCGAGCGACTAATAACGTAAACTGCATCAGTGTACAAATTACCAGTAGCAGTATATTATTTGAAAAGTTTGCCTTAAATATTACCAATTTCCAGATAAATTTAATTAATTAATTTAATTTTAAGCACACTACTTTTACGATGAAAAGGGTTAAAGGAATAGCGTACTAAAATTTCAAATATTCTAATCAAAGGATTATAATTGCCATTCTTTAGCCATATGCCAAGCAAAATCTTCATCGTGCAACAACAATCATTCCGCAAATACTCTCCAGATGCATGATATCGACGGGTCAAGGGAACGACTCCAAGTAACCCGAGTAATTACTCAATTCTTTCTCCGACCGTTTTCTAATTAAAGTTAATCAAATATGTGATATCGCTAATCAGTTTAAACGTGAATGTGGGTAAATGCTTCGCTTTTCTCAACCAGTCACTGGGGTGCGTGATGACGAACGGTTCGTCTATTTTGTAGGAGCTTGGGCTATTCAACGTAGTCGTTGATTTATTTGACGCAACATTAAGGTAAGCAGATGTTTTTTAATTAATAAAATAGATATATACATAATCAAAAAGATTAGGCATGGATTTTCTGAGATAAAATGACAATTATATATGAAATCCAATTTGAAATTCCTAATTAAAAACTTTACTATGCCAAAGTTTGATGCCAATGTTATTCTCGTTCTCGAAATACTTTAAAACTCATCGCTTTATTTTTAGGTCGGTTCTCAAGTTGTTTTGTGTAGGAGGCGTTATTCGAAGCTCCCAATATACAAGAAGATGAATTTTTGTCCGAAAGGAATTTTGAGTCAAAGTTTTAAAACCAAAATTTCCAATAGAGTTTTCAAAATGCTCAACATACGCAAATATATTAGAGTTAAATTTTGGATTTCTCGAACTCATCAGGTAATGTCCAGGTCGAAGTATCCTGGTTACCTTAATAATTGCCATAATGGGAGTGGTTGGCGCCTTGACGTCGCCAACCACTCCCATTATGGCAATTATGTCGAGAAAATAGTATCTACGAAATATCTACATACTCGTTGCATCATATTGTTGGAACGTAAATGTTCTTTAAGCACATTCTCTCTAAGATATTTCGCTGAAATTCAGTGATAAGTTGTGCCTACAAATTCTACCTTCGTCGATATATGGAATGTTAAACATAGTAGACATTTATTGTTGAGATATTTTTATTGAGTAATATTTTGGTGGATATTCTTCACAAAATAGAAAAATTTTGTACACCAAAGTACGGTAATTTAAAAGAACTTGACTGTTACGTCAGTGCCAAGCAGTTGGGAGGACACCTATTTTACGAGCCCCCGTAAAGTAACTAAAAAAATTTTAAAAGGGAAAATGTATCATTTATATATGAATAAGTATATATGTATAGCTCCGTCTCATGCGATTGACCTTACCTTAAATCTAATGCTGCTTTAGGTATCTGCTTTTCCCCGCTGTAAATATGGCTGACGAGTGACGACTAACACGGGACACAAGTAAAAAGACAAAAAAGCAAAGAAAAAACAAAAACGAATAAATAGGAGATACCAAAAATGCAGGACAGTTTCACATGGAAAATGCACTGATCGGTATGGTGAATATCTGTGGCACACACTCCCTGACTTCAATCAGCCAGTAGCCTATTTGTTGTGCCAGGAATCCTTCTGATAAGTCAACGATGGGAGCTTGCCTTCTGGGTTTGGATACGCTTAACCTGACTGCCGCTGAAATTCCAATGCACTAAACCAGACACAGTTCCGAATCGAACTTGTTTTATTTTACCACTCAACATAAAGTGTTATTGTGGCCACTCGTGTAAGGTCAGGTGATTTAAAAATAGTTTGGACTGCAACGCATCCAAATCCTACTTAATCAGATATACATATGTAACTAAATGCAAAAATAAATACAGGTTTAAGTACAATTCTAATACCTTTATCCCTATTTCAACACATGTCTACATAAAACACAACCCTAAGTTCCCTAAAATACAACCCTAAGTTATTATTGAATCTACAACAAAAAACGTGCGGCCCTTTTACCAGTGCTGATAAACCAAGAGACTGTCGCAACAACAGGTTGCCACAATATGCACCATATACCAATTACGAATGGGCACTAGATTGCAATCAGAAAGTATTATGTCAATTGAATGCGAGTCATCAAAAGTGGATACTAAGTCTGTACCTAAAACAGTTCTAAATAAATGAAATAATATACAAATACCAATGTGCAGTGACTAAATACATCAGAATATTTGCATAAGAAAAGCAATATGTGGCAACACTATATGCACTGCCTTATTAGGAATGAAACGGCAATCATCCTCAACACACCGGCCCCAATCATTTTGTTCACAAAATTATTTTAAACAATGAGGATGATTTATCCAACAATCGAACACAATGAAAACATGCAATAAAATAACATACTGAGAACATGAAATGAAACAACATATACAAAAAAATGACCTGGACCACTGAACATGTTTGGCAATAAAGGACAGAAGCTTAAGCAGCTTCAAGTAGGCAGAGTTTCCTAACATCACGAACTAGATCAGAATTCCTAGTATGAACCTTAACCCTCCTAACCATCCCATCCTTATCGGGAAATACCTCAATCACTCTACCCTTGGGCCAAACGCCGCGCGGAGTATCGTCGCCATACAGAAGCACAATGTCACCCACTTTCAAATTTCTCTCAGGAAAGAGCCATTTCTGTCTCTTTTGCAATAGCGGTAAATACTCCTTTGTCCACCGATTCCAGAATCGATCAAGACTGAGCTGGACATGTCTCCAATTTTCGCGAAACTCGTCACCGCGCGTAAACTTATCGGGAGCAATAGAGGGATCAAGATTTCCAGTCAAAATGGAATTTGGTGTCAGAACCTCCAAATCCCTTGCATCATCACTAATAGGTGTCAATGGGCGATCATTCAGAATTCTTTCTACCCCAGTCAGCATGGAGATGAGCGAAAAATCAGTAAATGTTCGTGATTTAGCACAAATCGCATAAAGAACTCTTTTTGCCTCCCGGACCATTATCTCAACCAAGCCATTCTGGTGAGGTGCTAAAGGCGGTTGAAAATCCCACTGAATTCCATGTTGTGACAGAGAATTTGCAATTTGACTCTGATTCCACTTATAAATCCCCTCAGCAAGAAGTCTCTCACCAGCCACAAAGTTTGTGCCATTATCTGAAATTACATGGGATGGTTTAGAACGCCTATCACAAAATCGAAAAAAGGCCTGCAAAAATGCAGATGCATCAAGTGATTCCGAGACCTCAATATGAACAGCCCTAGTGACTGAACAGGTGAATATGCATCCATACCGCTTGTATTCCTTACGTCCCAATTTGACTTTCAATGGGCCAAAGTAATCTACAGCAGTGTGATAGAAAGGAGTGCGACCACCCAGAACACGCGACTCTGGCAGAGGAGCCATCCACTGTGAACCAGGTCTACTCGCCCTCAACTTGCACAATTTACAAGCATTCAGCACCTTACGAACTTCCGCCTGTCCACAAAGAATCCAAAATTTTTCCCGCACAGAGGAAAGAGTGTGCAATGTACCAGAATGACCATTTTGCCGATGATAATACTCTATTATCAATTTTGTTACATGATGATGAGGTGGTAATATTATTGGATGCTTCTGCTCCGGTGATAAATGTGAGTGTCGAAGACGGCCACCCACCCGCAAAATATCATTGTCTAAAAATGGGCTAAGTTTAATGAGAGCCTTAGAATGTGGTGATGTAGGCAACTTACAACCACTGCTCAAGTAGTCTGGTCCGTCATGTACACGCTCACTGAAATATTCGAGCTCTGGAGAAAACGATTCAATTTGGGCCAACTTGCAGATCTGAATAGTTGCTACACTAAGTTCCGTAACAGTTAAATCTCCAGTCATTGGAGAGTCATTTGATCGACAGGTTTTCCACAAAATAAAAAACTTAAAACGCAACATCCATGCAATTGTTCTCGACAATTTTTCCCACGTTGAATAGCGATTTATTAACTCAGGAAAATACTGGGATCTCTTTTGAACTTCAACAAGATTCACCTTAATTTCACAATGTAAATCGGAATTAGTTGGTATGGTATCTGACACTGATGAAGTGCCAGGCCATGAAACACTTTGTTGCCACAAAAAACTCGGACCTTGAAACCATAATTTTGCCTTATCCAGCTTATCTGGCATAAGGCCACGAGAAGCGATGTCTGCTGGATTTTCATTTGTTGGAACATGAGACCACTGCGACACATCAGAGATTGATTGAATAATATTAACCCGATTGGCTACAAAAGTCTTAAAGCGCTGTGATCTACTATTCAACATCTGCAACACAGTCATCGAGTCTGTCCAATAACAAGTTTCGTGTATCTCATAGTCTAGTGCATTTGTGACAGAATGAGCAAGTTCTGTAGCAACGACTGCCGCAGTCAATTCTAGTCGTGGAATTGTCACTAGCTTCTTGGGGGTAACACGCGCAGTACCCTTTACAAATGCACAGTGAACCTCGCCGGATTCGTTCTCCAACCTAAGGTACACTACTGCGCCGTAGCCCACTCTACTTGCGTCGCAAAAACAGTGAAGCTGCACATTCGCCGCCTCAAATCCTTCCGGTTTGTAGCAACGTTGTATAGTCAACTCCCTCAAACTAGGCAAGGTGCTGATCCATTTCTCCCAACCATCATACAAGTCTCCCTCGACAGGATCATCCCACGAGTAACCCAAAAAACACAAATCCTGCAAAATGCGCTTTGCGGGAATCAAAAACGGTTGAATAAACCCCAATGGATCATATACCTGGCCAAGCATGCTGAGCATGCCACGGCGCGTTGAGGGTCGAAACTCAATTTCCACCCGAACCTTGAAGACATCGTGCACCATGTTCCAATAAATTCCCAGCGTACGTTCAGTCAACTCTGTACTAAAGTCAAGCGCTTTCGTTGCGGTAGAGCGATCCGCCTCGGGAATCGCTTCCATTACTTCAATTTTATTACAAGCAAACTTTGTAAGACAGAACCCACCCGATGCGAGTAATTCGATCAGCTGATTTATCAATTGAAGTGTTTCATCGACGGTACGTTTCGACTTCACACCATCATCAACGAAAAAACTGCGTTGCACTGTCTGTATCGTTTCCAGATCAGCATTCGTTAGATTGTCATCAGCGACACGTTTCAACACAAATGACGCAATCGAAGGACTCGACGTCGCGCCAAAAACATGCGAACACATTCGCAGATCAATAGGTTTCTTTCCCAAGTCGTCATTCGGATACCACAGAAAACGCATCGCATCACGATCTCGACTGTCCAGAATAACACGTAGATACATTTCGCGCACATCACAAATAAAGGCAACCGCTTCCTCGCGAAACCGCAGTAGAATACTCACCAAATTCGTATTTAGGTCTGGACCTGAAAGTAAATTCTTGTTAAGTGAAGTGCCGCCGCACTCCGCACTGCAATCGAAAACAACCCGGAACTTGGCCCCAGTAGAGTGGTGTGGCATATACCAAGTCCTACCCAGAGACCCAGGATCACCCTCAGGCACTATTTCCGCATACCCCTTGTCTAAGTAATCATTAATTTTGGACTTGTATTTAAAAAATAAATCAGGGTCCCTAATAAATTTTCGTTTTTGGGACTCTAATCTTTTCACTGCCATTTGACGATTGTTTGGAAGTTTAATATTTTTATCTTTCCATGGAAGAGCAACTTGGTACCTCCCATTTACCTTTACTGCAGTGTCATTCATCACTACAAGAGCTTTCTTATCATCTAGGGAATGTTCAGTGGTGAAGGGATCACAATCTAAATCTATAAAATCATGACCACAAATTTTGCACAAAAATTGATCAGTATCACATGCACACACAGTATTTAGACGAGGACATGAAACATCACTTACACTTTCACAACTGCTAAGAGACATAGTTCTGTCAGGACCGAAAAGAGCCCAACCAAATACTGTCCTGTGAGCAGCGGGAAAATTTTCCTTTTGATCACAAAGCCTAATTTCAGAAATGGGATGATTGGCTAACACTTCAGCACCAATCAATAAATCAACCTCACCAGATCCTAGCACAGGAAATTCCAAATCACCCAAATGAGGATATTTCTGCAACACATTAGCAGTCGGGATAGAACTCTCTAAATTAGGTAAATTAATTGCCAAAACATTGGGAATGTCAACAACCCTTTCCGAATCACAACCTTTTACTTTCAGTGAGACTGTTTTACCACTGTGTAATTACTACCATTCGCTGTTGCGAGCATACAATCTTCAGGTTTACCCTCAATACCCAATTTTGCAAGTAAATTGTGGAGCACAAGGATCTGGTAGACCCTTCATCTAAAAAGGCATAAGTACACACAGCATCAGAAGCACCATTGCTGGTAACCTCCACAGGTACAACCTTAAGTCTAACAAAATTTTGAATATTTTCCGAACAATTAACATTTGCGAAATAAGCACCGGCCCCATTTTCTTTCTTGGGGCAGACACATTATTTTGAGAATTAGCATTGCTAGAAAAATGAGCACCAGTGGTTGGTGGCTTCTTTTGATCAACATGTAATAAACTGTGATGTAATTTACCACAGCCATTTACTTGACACACATATTTAGAAGGACAATTATTTGCACGATGAGAACGATACAAGCAATTAAAGCAAAGATTATTTCGTCTCACCATTTCGGCGCGATCATTAACACTTCTCCCTTTAAACTCGACACAGTTGTGTAAAGCATGATTTCCTTGACAGTCCACACACTTGTACTGCAAATCAGCTACCTTGGGTCCTGGAGTCTTCTCTTGGGTATTGGTGACTGCATACGATGTGGTTCTTGTCATCCTAGGTTTGGTGACTCGAATAGTTGATTTCTGTTTGGCAGAATTCTTGGTCACAATCCGACCATAAATGTAGTAGTTAGCTGCGCTTTCTTCACACAAATGCAACCAAGTGTGAAAATGTAGGAAGTTTACTGTCATCAAATTGGTCCGCATACTTTCGTTGCAAGTACATGGGCAGACGTGAGAATACACGCTCAAGATTTTCATAGCCATCCATGAATGAATTTGCATTCCACTCACTAAGCACAATCTCACAATTACGCAGTTGAGTGGCCAACTTGCAAAGTCCTTGAGTGTCATCGTCCATAATCTTGGGACCATTTGTTACCTCTTTACTTGTAGCTTCAATTACCACAGTTCGGTTACCAAACTGTTCATGTAAGGTTTGCCACGCCATCTGATAGCCCTTGCTTGGTGGCGACACTAGTACTAAATTCTTGATGGCATCCTTTGCGATGCCAGAACACAATTGAATCAGCTGTGCAAGCTTTGTCTCAGGCGCATGTTGGTGACAATGAATGTTAGTCTCAAATGACTTCATGAAGGCATGGAAACGCAGGGGATTTCCATCAAACTCCATCAGTTCAACTTTGGGCAATGTGAAACCTTCTCGCAGAGCATTAATCATAGCACCATAATCTGGAGGAACAGCACTTGTTGCTGTTTGAAGTGGCAAAGCTGAATTCGGTACCGCCTGATAAATCCCATCGCCAACTTGACGATTGCCACTTTCGTATGAATTTACTACTGGCTGATGCGCACCAGTAGCAAGTGTTGACACAGATGGTGCAAAACCGCTCTGAACGACACCTCCACTGCCATATGAATTTACTACTGGCTGATGCGCACCAGTAACATGTGTTAACACAGGTGGTACAGAACCGCAGCTCTGCAGCACTCCTTCTCTTGCATATGAATTTACTACTGGCTGATGCGCACCAGTAGCATGTGTTAACACAGGTGGTACAGAACCGCAGCTCTGCAGCACTCCTTCCCTTGCATATGAATTTACTACTGGCTGATGCGCACCAGTAGCATGTGTTAACACAGGTGGTACAGAACCGCAGCTCTGCAGCACTCCTTCACTTGTAATAGGGGAAGATTCCCAAACAACAGTAGATTTTGAAGGCTCACGAACCATATGTTCGAGACCTACATTTGAAGCATATTGTCTTATTGGTAGTTGGTGAACTGTTTCATCAGAAGAAAAATGCAATCCCGTGAGATCCACTGAGTCGCCATGTCTGGACGAAGTCCCTGATGAACTAGCCTTTAGAAGTAGCTCAGCTTTCTTCTTCTTCGCTTCTGTCATTGCTGTTTCTATTTTTTCTCTCAACAATTCTTCTTGAGCTTCAAGAAGCATCAGTTCTGCCTGGAGGCACTTTGATGATGTTGATGAAAGTCTTGTTTTCGCTGAGCTAGATGAATGCGTGGAAGCAACTTCAGTGTATTGTATATTTTTCGCCATAATCCACCGGTAGTCGGGGACCGTGTACTATTTTTAAATGATGATCGGTATGGTGAATATCTGTGGCACACACTCCCTGACTTCAATCAGCCAGTAGCCTATTTGTTGTGCCAGGAATCCTTCTGATAAGTCAACGATGGGAGCTTGCCTTCTGGGTTTGGATACGCTTAACCTGACTGCCGCTGAAATTCCAATGCACTAAACCAGACACAGTTCCGAATCGAACTTGTTTTATTTTACCACTCAACATAAAGTGTTATTGTGGCCACTCGTGTAAGGTCAGGTGATTTAAAAATAGTTTGGACTGCAACGCATCCAAATCCTACTTAATCAGATATACATATGTAACTAAATGCAAAAATAAATACAGGTTTAAGTACAATTCTAATACCTTTATCCCTATTTCAACACATGTCTACATAAAACACAACCCTAAGTTCCCTAAAATACAACCCTAAGTTATTATTGAATCTACAACAAAAAACGTGCGGCCCTTTTACCAGTGCTGATAAACCAAGAGACTGTCGCAACAACAGGTTGCCACAATATGCACCATATACCAATTACGAATGGGCACTAGATTGCAATCAGAAAGTATCATGTCAATTGAATGCGAGTCATCAAAAGTGGATACTAAGTCTGTACCTAAAACAGTTCTAAATAAATGAAATAATATACAAATACCAATGTGCAGTGACTAAATACATCAGAATATTTGCATAAGAAAAGCAATATGTGGCAACACTATATGCACTGCCTTATTAGGAATGAAACGGCAATCATCCTCAACATGCACATTCCACACATTACCCAAAACACACATAAATACCTATTGGACTTGGTTATGGGCTTAGTTGTGTAAAGCGTGAATCGGTAAAACTAAAAAATTAACTAAAATTTGAATATTATTATTATGACATGCACCCATTTTTATTATATACAATAAGCTTAGTTAGATAGCTAACGGAACAAATCGGTTATGTGTCGACTCGGCAACACGGGGTGTCAAAATCGGAATTAGCATAAAGCATAAAAATGAATTTGGCAAAAACATCATGATAAACAAAGTGTTGTTGACAATGGCATAATTAAATCATGAAATATTTCAGAAGAACCAAAGCCTCCTCTCAACAACGTCTTTCTCTGACATTGTCACAGGATTGTCATCCGTTGGATGCAGTAACGTCTATAGTCGATACTGTATGTAAGATGAAGAAAGGAAAGTGAAGTGTGGGATATGGAAAGTTACTTTGTTACTTATCGATTTCAATCGGTAAGTATGTTGATAGGTATTTGTCTGTCTGTCTGTTTGTCTGTCTGTCTGTTAGATGCACGCGATATCTCACAAAAGCGAGGTTGACATCATAGCTCGGATCAGAAGCCTATTGATTTTCGATGAATTGTGTCGTATAATTAGCGAGTTATTAATTAATTAGTGATAGGACACACGGTGTCACTATGGAGTAAAAGCGCTGTTTTGGGGGACCCCCTAACCTTCGATCGATAAGTCTTCGGTCTCCGACCGATATTCTCGTTTTATCTGTTTCTGCCTTACATAAACAATACCACTACTCAGATCATAGCATTGGTCGATGACAAATTGCAGTCGAACCAGATTTTGTTTTAGATTCGCCGCGTCAGTTTTCTCGAAATTCAATCTGAAAACTTTTGGTGAATTCTTTCATATAATTTTCAGGATAAGGATTTTATCTTACTGATCATTTGTGAGAAATTAGTTTTGCTTTTAACTCATTATGACGTCATGAAAGAAAATAGCAAAACAATGTAAGTTTCTAAATGATATTCGCTGGATTCAGAAAATGTTCGAAAGTTTTGTACATGATTATAAGAAGGGATGGATTAAGAACAGTAGAAACAAAACAATGATGGGGATTGCGGAAAGCTGTTGCATAGACTTTGCGGCGCAGAAGCAAACGTCAACTGAACGAGAGCTTCTGTTAATTCGAAACCATCCTAACAGAATTCGACGCCGCTCATCTGTTGTTCCAACGACCCCGCGTATCAGAGAAAATAAAATGCTCGAAGAATTGTGTGATGTCTCAGGAATCGAACCTGATGTACCAGCCGATAGAATGGGCACGTCTGATTTGACCACATTAGTAAGAAGGTTATCTCGTTACACGCCGGGTCCAGCTAAAACAAACTTGCAAAGTGGCAGCAGTGACGTGGCAACCTCTCCTACATTTGCCGTAACAAACACACATAAAATAGAACCGTAAGTAGGGTTTTATTTTTTATCAATCCTAAAAAAGAAATCGTGTTTTAAAACAAGAGCTTGTTTTAAATCAAATTTTTTCTGTATTTTTTATTGAAATACCCCTTTCATCGCCGCGAAACTACGCCAAACGTTGCATTCGGGCAGCTGGAATTATAATTTTAAAAATGTAAGGAAAATTTTCTATTTTGACTTTTACTTTTATTGCGTACATTTATCGCGACTTTCGTATCTCCACAAAAGTCATAAGATTTCAACCGGAATGTTTATTCGAGATATCAAAGAGACGTTTTGAGTAAGAAAAATCATGAAAATTAGCTCACAAGTCTACTATAAAATTAATTAGAGGAATGGCAGCCTTCGGCAAAACGAGTGGGTTGCGATAATGAAGAATATGCTTACATCGACGGCGGATGAGACACGCTAGCCTGGCCTATGTTAATTGTAAGAGTCCTCTAATGCAAAGACGCTTCAACTAATCTGTTATGACGCCATGGTGTGGATTTCGAGTTCATGTATTGACATGAAGGCTTAATTGCACAATGAAATTTCATATATATTTCTATCCAACAGAAATGAAAATTATTACGGTTAATACTGTTCGGTTAATTAATTTATGCTTAGCAAGCTTTGTTTTTAAGGTTGAAGTGATAGAGTTTTTCAAGATTATACAAACTAATTTATTCGATTGCATTTCAATTTTCGCAAGGTGGTTTCGTCGCAGGGTCGTTTACGTAATGGCGTTACGTTATCGGTTGCGTCTTACTGCGCCAACCACTGCGCGACAACCTGAGAAGGTGTGCGTGAGCATCTATCGTTATTTGTGGCGTTTTGAAGAATTTATTGCAAAAAAAGAGCGCTTGGCAGGTTTTTACATCCATTTTTCTTCAACCTATTTAATACAAAAAAATCCAATAGTACAGCCATTTTGAACAAAACAGGCAAAAAAAACTTGATTTAAAACAATTCTTTTTGAACAAATTCCTAACCGTAAGTAGATTAGGCACTTTTGACGTTTATTTCTCACTTTTAGGCAAGTGTGCTTCAAACAAGCCTCAACAGAAAAGTTTAAATGGCGAATAATATATAATATTAACGATTAAAGTTAAAATACTTGAAATACAAATATATCTCAACATTATGATACGTTTTATGATAGCGCCCAACATCTACATTGGAATTTCCAGGTCCACGCAATATATTTCTTATGCGTAAGATATTCCATATAGGAAACATATCTTGTAGCTGTTCGCTATGTCAAATAACATAAATAATAACAACAGTCATCTGACATACAGTTATATATATACTAACGTCATGGCGAACTAACTTGAATAAATTCATATATTGGATTTATTTATTCTCTTGCCACTTTGGATATGATTACACAACTTTCTGATTTTTGTTTTATAAATAATCACATTACAGAAACGGAATGTGTGAGTTTCTCGGAACGAAAGAATATTTACTAATAGTATTGAACGCATTGCAATTCCTGAAAAGCATGCATAGGTTTAACTTAATCGATATATCCAATTCATAGGCCTTTTTTGTGCGCAAGTGGATATAGAGTGAAAATATACAGAATTATTTAGAACTATAAATTATAACTTTACTTTCACAGATTGATTACTATCTAGCAATTTCCATTCTTCGCTAACCCAATCAAATTTATCGAAATTTACAGATCGGCAACAGACGCATCTTTAACTCGAATTCTAAACAGTTTGAAATAGAAGCGTGAAGAAGTTTTGATGCAGAGTAATTAAACAACACGACCGATTTCAATATTTTTCAGAATTACACATCAATCGAACCAAAATACAAATGTTCCCTTTCTCCGTGTGTTTAAAATATGAAATTAACATTTAACTTTTGTTCGTAGAATTAAAAAAAAATTAAAAGTATGTATAAAGTAATGCTCAACCCTTTACTTTGTTACACTATTGCAAATATCAAGTCCAATATTTTTGAAAGACGAAAACCGCTAAACATATAAGTATTCGGTCTTCAATATATATTTTATTTGGTTACTCTGGGGCATTCACTGGGAGACATGAACTGCACTACCCTGCACGATAAAATGCTGAGTTTCCTATTCGGACAACGATACGAGAAAAAGTTTTACTTATCCTCAGCACAAGGTGCTGCAATAAATTGCCTTCCTATCGCTCCTACTACTTTAATAACTCATTCGAACAGGATCCGACGTTTTATCCAGGCTTTCATGCTTAGTTTCATGATGCTTTCCTGAAATGACATTCTCTAATTACTAATTCCTGGCCCAAATGTTGCAACACGCAAACGAAATGATATGAAAGGGTAATCCTGTGCCGAATTTTTGAAACGTTTACTTAAATGCTCCACGTATGAATGAAAAGTGCAATAATGGGTGACCGTACATTTGAACCCACGTACATTTGAACCCATGCGTATATCCACGGGTTCAATCTATATGCGGGTGCTAAAACCCATGGGTTAGGGTTAGTATAAGTTCAACTATCCGAAAAACAAAAAAAATTCCATAGGTGCAATAGCATACAGGTGCAATTGTCATGGGTTCAAATGTACGTGGGTTCAAATGTAATGGAACCGCAATAATGTATTATCAACAATTTGTTGTTTTACCTGTTATTTATTCTAAAACGCTATTCTTACCATTACATTATATCATATATGGCCTTGATAGTTTGATGACGTAAGTTAAGTACTTCATTATCCAGCAAAATAGTACGGAATATACACAATTACACGCCCGGTCTTAACGAAAGTCAGACTGAGAAGAGATGGTGTAATCGCAAAGCCGGGTAGCGAGGGCAGTGGTTTTTGATGTCAGTCAAGTATAGTGAAAACTATTATAATGCAAAGTACGCATGTCATAAATTTCCTCACGCTATCAGTCAAACTTCAATAGTTGCAATTTGAAGCCGTCCGTCACGATAACTCATAACTCACATCTTTGGTTGGCGCAGGCCTCTGCCCACCTAGGGTGGACGAGTATAGACCAATACCAAATATATACTACTGACTACCAAGGTTGCACTCCCAAAAAGAAGCGCACTACCAGCACAAGACATTTATTTCTTTGTTATAATACGGTGCAATTTTCTGTAATTGTCATAAACAAGCAAATACACACGCAAAAATAAAAAGTATAATACGGCCGGATGTCAGCGCAACTTCGTACGAAGCTTTCGGCATGCGATTTAATCAGACATCCAGTGTAATGAAACGTGTTAATGATTTTCGTTCGATTCACATGTTTAAAACCTTCTAAAAAACTAACCAATTCCTTAATACCAATAGTGCATGAATTAATGACTCATTTTCTGAATTCGACTCACCCACATTCGACACATCACAGTCAGTCATGAACTACATACATGCTATGAGCTTATTTCGAATTTTTTGATTCTAAACATTCTGATTTAAAATTCCAAGCAAAAACAGATGTTAAAAACCCTTATCCCATGTGCTTTGAGGTCATTAGAACTTAAATGAATATCCCGTTGCTCATAATATCAAGGGGTGTTCCAATGTTTTGGGCAGCTTCTTAGAAACACCACCCATGTCATTTATATAAGATAAACTTTAAGTTTGTTCAATCTGACTCTTTGAGAGCATTTAAAATGCATATTGAAACACCGTACGCGCAGACCAAATAAAATGGTACATTCGTTTGAAGTGTCGAAAATCACGATGGATATATCAACCCTACCCTTGGCAGTCGTTTCCACTGAAGCACCAGTACATTTACCCGTTTATTCCTGGATGATGTACTTGACAGCCTTGAATGAAAAACAAAGCCGCGTATATGAAATATGGGAGTTAACCTAAAGTTCAAGTGATTGGTTTGAGTAAATATGGCAATGGAAGGGGATAATAGAATATAAAAAGTGGCCAACAAAAAAAATTTTGAGCAAACTGAAGAGGCAGCTTAAAGTCATGTGTGAGATAGGGCTTTGATATTTGAAATGATGTATAGCCAGGGCTGCCATCGATATGAACCCAAAAATAAGTCAGCAGGGAAACATAATAATAAGATAACGAGGAACGAAATGTAATAAACAAAATGCATGCATGCCAGTGCGACCCGTGTCTAATCATACTTTGTACTAGAAAGGATTTGCTCCAGCAGTTCTCTATTCTTAAAAACAATCTGTTCCATCTCACTTTCAAATTGTATTTTGATTCAAGTTACACGAACTGATTTTGGCCGGTAGGCTATTGTTTAGTCATCGTGTCAATTAATTTGCTGTTATTACAAAATGAATGCGTGTAGCAATCAATGAGGTTGTAAAATATCAATTCTCGCAAATCAATCATTCGAATTTACTAATCTAAGTGCCTGGTATTAGAACCTCTACCCACAAAATAAGGACACATGTCAAAATAAAGACGTTTCTTAGAAATAAAGACAAAAATATTTTCTAAGACAAAGACCTTCAAAATAAGGACAAATCTTAAGGACGTTATGGCAGCCGTATGCGAGGGCCACGCGTGGGAAAGGATATTGTACTTAGAAAAATATTTTCTAAGACAAAGACCTTCAAAATAAGGACAAATCTTAAGGACGTTATGGCAGCCGTATGCGAGGGCCACGCGTGGGAAAGGATATTGTACTTAGAAACGAACCTATTACAAACTCCAGAATATGTACCGTAAGTAAAGAGGGCTTCCATAGTTAAATCATTGTGAATATTCAGCTCATATAAATACATGTTAGACACGGAGCATATAAATAGATTAGAAGCATCGCCATAAAACATATAGAGACTGTATAGAGATATGTTGGGAAAACTTTTTTCATAAACTAAGATGTTTCAGGCTGATATAGTTTTAAAGTTTTTTTTTATTTTATATTCAGTGTTTTTCAGGATTCTATATGACGAAACTAAGATAAACTCATAGACATTTCCCTTCTATGCCATTTGTGTATGGAATAATAAGAATATAGTGTCGAGATATGCAACCTCCATATGATGGGTACAGTGGCAATAATGAAATTAACTTTCACCTCGACGACAGAATTTTCATTGCATAATGTTCTTTTTGTTTCGGCTTTTCATTGGACACTCCGTAAACGTCATCCGTACTTTGCCTGAGCCCGTCGAGACCAGCACTATTAGGCGAAAATGCAAATGACGAAGTAGTCTCCTGAGAAATACAGCGATTGACTGTAGTATTGCGATATGGAGAATGAGTGGTTTGTAATCTTTCGTGCTTGAACCTTGTCCACATTACCACTAGTAGTTTCTTTCGTAATGAATCAATTCCGAATGCAATTTGATGAATGACTGGGATATAGATAACTACAACAAACAAAAGAAATAGAGAAGGCATTGAGGCCGGTATATCGGTAAACGAAAATACCAAGTGGGTAGGTATATATCCAGCAGCCCATCTGTAAACGTGAATTAGTGAGAAAAAGATGAACCAGGCGTCCGGATAAACGAAATGCAGGAGTCGCACCGATATATCATGGATGAAAACGTCGATTAGCATCACCATAGGACTTATGACGTAGAAATTGATGTCGTCACTAAAAATACCAAAAAAAAACTTTCTCATTGACAAGTTACTATCTGGTTGCTATCTTTATTATGCATCATGCCTGTAAATGACGTTGATCACAGTCAAGACACCCATTTCTAAAAGTATTTTCTCGCGGGCTCCGAATAATTCAGTTTGGAAATTAAAAAAATTCGGACCTCCAGAAGTATGCGCACCAAGATGGCGCACAACCTGAACATATTATGTATGTACCGGTTAGGATTCATGTTGTGCGACATCTTGGTGCGCATACTTCTGGAGCACCAAAAATCCAGTCATCATTTTGTAAAACTTTGCAAGAGCAAGTCATCTTTCGTTTTTCACTTGAGTTACGGTGCCTGATTCGGTGGCGTTACACTCAACAAACGCGGGGGATAAAATCCTGTGTAAATTTGCCACCTCTGGAAAGGGAGAAAAATTATTAGCAGTAGATACCTTTTAAATACTTCTGTGTATGTCATAGCTTCAGTGTTGTTAGCAGATCGGGCGATCAAATGAGCAATTGATCCAATCATGCATGCCAAAGAACCGTTAAAGCTTATAACGTGCAAGATCCAACAGACTTTATGATACCTGAATGTGTATATTATTTCGATAACAACAAAGTTACTTTCAATTCTCCCAGAACACAAATCATCTTATTTAACCAAATGTGCATTAGATTTACAAGTACGTAATCGAATTTTATGAATCGATTATTTGTATATCTTCGCCGTTCTCCTCATATAACAAAATGAAGTTTTCTTACCACGAAAAGTCATCATTACAGAGACAGTCATTGTCAAAGTTGAAACCAGCCAGTAAAAGGGCCAACGTGCAATACAAAGTAAGCATCATAAAACTCCATGTTGGGTAGGATAAGAACCATTCAGCCTGTATGAAATATATGCCAATATGTCAGGCCTCAAATCAAACGATATAACGTGAACATATATCATATAGTTCAACAACAACAAATACAACGCAACACTAAATTAGTCTTGTGAGGTTTTAAATGGTGATATTTTGGCTGTTCCAACAACTGATGCTTAATATATATTCACCATGAGAAAAATGTGTCTCATATATCAATTGTTTATCAACTAGTTTCATACGGATCGAATTGTGTTAATAGAAAAATTGGCCAGCATCATGCGCAATTTCTTCATAAACGTTCCAAAATCTGTCGTACTCAAGTTACCAGACTTGACACAAAATAGATCTATATAGATTCAAATGGTCGAGGACATAAGAAAGTGATTGGGTTCGTATTCGGAGTGAAAGTGTTGGAAGAGTGATGGTGTATCGGTGTCGTCCGAGGATTCGATCAGTGCATGAATATTTTTGAGAAGTTTCTAGACAATATGCTTGTGCGGTTTCCCAGCATATTAGGTTTTTTTTTTATAATAGTTTGCTCAAGTTTGTTAGGCCCAAATATATGTTTCATACTTCGAACTAAAACTTTAATGCTACTTTGTTTTGGCCTCCGTGTCCATCCATTTGAGAACTTTTCTTATTTTTTTCATTTAAGATTGTTCACGGCAAGATCGCGATCGCATAATTATGAATGAGCGAATACTGGTATTGGATTTGCAAACAGTTATAACATAATACGAGCTACTTATACATTTTATATCTTACCACAAGTTGTTCTGATGATAACTGAGATGCTTGATAAGAGTTCCAAGACAAAATCGATGCCGAATATATAAAACAGACAATTCGGTATACTAAAAATGGGTATTGTGTTCCTATCCACTAAAAAGCAAATTATTTAAATATGTTTAGATATATGGCAATTCGGAAGTAGTAATGGAGTTTCATCGTACGGAGAATCTAAATATTAGATTCGAGTCCAGGGTATAGTCAAATGGATAATTGTGGTCTATTTTTCGTTGGACAAAGTTATCGCATGAAAACACGAATTACAAGAGTTTCGAGTTACGAATCGTCTATTCAATATTATTATATCAAAGGAACCAGGTGCGAAGAAACGACGCCCGAACAATTGTAACACGGGCAGACGTGTGAAAATTAATACCTGTAAACAAAGGTACATGATATTTTAAATTAATCATTGGTCCGTACGAAAAGACTGTGCCTTACAAATTGGTTGATTTATAATAATAATCCATAATCGAATCCTACTCAGTAGGTGACGTTGAAAACATATAGAATACTATTATTCCTTATATTTCTCATTTTGGTCTGAAGGGTTTCTAATACTCATACAGACGCGTATTTCCTTCAGACCCGTTATTACTTTTTAGATTCTCACACATAGTTATATCAATCGTATTTACATACTCACATAATTTGAAATTTTGAAACAAATATCAGTTATCGCATTCAAACAAGATCATCACAATACTCGGAAGATATTTTTGAGAAAAATGTAAACTTACCGCAGTCGTTGCAAATTTGCTCGGATTCGGCTCATCTAACCACAATTTCTTCCACATCAATTCGTTTCGAAATCTAATAAAACAAGTGTTCTTACATTGCGCCATTTTTCACTAAACGTCTTCGTGTATTTGCAATCCGTTTCGCTTGTGCTTGTCGATCAGTGTGTGTAAAAGAGAGATGACAGTAAATGGGACCAATGCTGTGAATCAATGGAATCTTATTGTCATGGTCCATTTACTTTTCGTTTGGCACAATAGTTCCTGTGGCGCTGTATCAGCGACCCACCTACCGCAGCCTCTCCTCCTCCTTGCAATGTTACTTTAATAAATGTTTATCATATAGGCCTATAGTACGCATATTTGCTTTTTTACGCTGAACAAGAACAAGAACAAAAATTGGCTCAACTTTAATTTTTATTAATCGAGATCAAAATAAGTGGGAGAAATTATTACGAACTGTATCGTTTCAAATTTTAGGTTGCAAACCAAAGTTAATTGTGCCAGTAGCGAAGACAAAAAGTATTTAGAATATGGGGACATACAAATATTGATATTTAGAATATACAAAATGCTGATAAATCGGGTACGCATCTTATTCAAAATGCAAACACATGATTGTTGCAGCGAGAATAGTGTCTTCTCTACACCATGGAACACATCCGCGATGGTGGCAAGTCAGGACAAATTCTCTGGCACACGTACACGTTAAACTATTCTCTAGTCAAGTTATTGCAACGTTGGTTTGTTCAATGGTTATCTTGTAAAATGAGGAGATAGAGTAGTGGGTCGAGGATAGGAAAGTTGAGGGAGATAGGGCAGTGGGTCGAGAATAGGTAAGTAGATGGAGATAGGGCAGTGGGTTGAGGACAGTTTTCAAGTGAACGAATAGCTTGCGGAGGCCCTGTGTCTTTCAGAATTGTTAGGCGAAAAAAAAACAATGACAAAGTATCTGACAATCTTAGAAAAATCTCATAAGGCATTGTATGAAGTGGCATATTTAATCGCAAAAGATAAAAAAAAAACCACACCCTTGGAGAAACACTAATCAAAACATATTGCAATTGGTCAAATTATGAATGGAGACAAGGTAACTAAGGAAATGAAAAAAATACCAATGTCTGTAGATACCATTCGTCGACGTATCAGCGAAATGGGTCAAGATATTAGGTGCCAACTGATTGATAGAGTCAAAGGAGGAAAATACGCTTTGCAATTGGATGAATTCACGGATACGTCTGGTTTAGCGCAGTTGATTGTGTTCGTTAGGTATATAAGATACTCATGTGATTGGCGCTTTCTGGAACATGCACTGCATATTCTCAGCAGTGGCGACGAGACTACAGAATGATGGATTATCATGAGAGCGGTGTATTAGCATTTGTACTGAAAGGGTTGGGGCCATGGCGGGAAAACAAAGGTTCTTAGCAAGAGTATTACAAATTGCACCTCATATCAATTCTACGCATTGCATTCTTCATAGGGAAAATCTGGCTAGCAAAACATTGGACACACCAGGGGTCCGCAAATACGGGGTCGCGACCCAAGTTTGGGTCGCGGAGCTCTGCCCGCTGGGACGCAAAACAATTTTAATTTACCATATATATAGGCATCGCGTCTGTGTACCGAATTTAGCTCTAACAACTATATAAAACTCTAAAATTATAATTATGGATTTTTCCCCGAGTTTAGACTTCCTTATTAACTGCCGTAACATTGGCCAATCAGCATAAGTGCAGAATTTGACGTAACAATAAACGTTCTAAATTTAGGTTGATATTAAATTTAAAAATAAAAGTGATGTTATTCAAGTAACTTATTTCTTCCTTTTAGCCTACTGCGATTTTGTAGTTGTCAATTTTGAAAACCCGATCTCACATAAATGAAAAAATGCCCGTAAAAGCTTTTTTTGCAATGCCTGGGTATTCAGATAGCAGTATTGCCTAAAAGATCGCCAAAGTAGCTACCCTATAAATCGCAAAGACTCTTTTCAACTCATTACTGTTTATTGAAATTTCAATCAACTAAATTTGTTATTAGGACATTGTCCGTCTTTTGCGTCACGTTTCTGCGGACCGGTAATAACCTTTCCGCGGACCGGCGATGGGCAGTGGCCGGTGGTTGCCGACCACTGATTTAGTCATTCAGACAGATTTTCATGGTTGTGAATATTACCTCAATGGATCAAAAGTCGGGGAAATATTCGTTACTTAGTTGTTCGCATTGTTATATACTACTACGTAAACTTTAGGTTCTCAAAGTGCTCCGTACGGAGCCTCAGGACTCCCGTTAAAGACACAGGGCCTCCGCAAGCTATTCGTTCACTTGAAAACTGTCCTCAACCCACTGCCCTATCTCCTTCTACTTACCTATTCTCGACCCACTGCCCTATCTCCCTCAACCTTCCTATCCTCGACCCACTACTCTATCTCCTCATCCTCGACCCACTGCCATATCTCCCCAACTTTCGCATCCTCGAACCACCGCTCTATCTCCCTCAACCTTTCTCTTCTCGACCTGCTGCCCTATCCCCCTCAACCTTCACATCCTTGACCCGCTGCGCTATCTGTCACACCTTAACTATCTCTCTCCTACGCTGCTATACTGTTCAATCCCTGACCAAATGGCGCTTTATTTACGACCCGATCGCCACACCGAACTTTACTATCTTGCGACCAACTTCCATGGGTTATACTGGTCGTGTATGCCAATGAGATGATTCAATCGTACGTCGACAAATCATGATTGACGGCATTCGTATAATATGTAGGCTGGAATCTCAAATGGTAAACAATAACCATAATTGAAATTTTAAAAATGTGTTACTAATTGGGCTACTGATGGTTTCTTGTTGGGAATGACAGTTTTCTAAATTTTAACAAGCCGTTTTACGCCCTTATTAATAGACCTTATTCATTTAAAACCCATCCTACGCGCAAAAAAAAAAGTGACGTAAAATTTTTTTTTTAACATCAGCTCTTATGGGAAATGTGATCACCAGAGCAGAAATTTGCATTTTTTGGGATTTTCTAGCAATATCTCAGTATGAACGTGGGCAGTTTTAAAAATAGAATATTTTTTAGATAGTTTTCGATACTTTTATCACTATAAACACGGTCGAGATTTTTTATAATCGTTCATCGAAATTTTAATGGGAGAAGTGTTTCCACTGACGTCACTCTCGCTTTACCATGACATTCGGCCATAGCATTGTGGTCTGCGATAAAATGCGCGCCGGCTGCTCGTTCTTCTCATTCTGTAGGACCGGTAACTGAATACCGAAATGTCGTCGCTTAGCATTTAGTGAAAGACCTATTTTCGCTATTGCAGTTATGCTAAAATGGCAGTCTGTTCACGTATTCAGTCAGGTTATCTTCTCGTTATTGGCTTTGCACATGTCTTACCGATAGAGTGACCTTTCTCTAGAGGCTTGCTGACATATACGGTACCGGTAACCTGGTAACGTACGGTACCGGTATTGACTTTACACTTTATGTAATACAGTAATATGATGGTTAGATTAATGTTTGTTTGTACCGTACCGGTATACGACTTACCGTATCCTACCTATTGTCAAAAATGCCATAAAAGTTTTAGTTTTCACTCTTTAATGCAATACTGGTGCCGGTACCGGTATGCTTAGGACTGTATGGTACGGTAATTATTATACAGTTTTAGACTTAACAGTACCTGGTATGTGACAAATCAATTATCGTGTTGGAAATGTAATATTCAAATAATTTCTACATTAAGATCATACTGTACGGTATATTATATAACATATCATTTACAAGATGTCAGGCCGAGTTTGCTGTGTCATCAAATGCACCAATCATGCCTATAAACTTCAGAAGTGGAAATCATCCCACTGCCCCATTCGTAATGTATCGAAAGGTGAAGAAGGCTGTATTTGTACTCCACCGTTCGAGCTTCATCCTTTTCCAACGGAACTCAAAGACCCGGAAGGTCGACAGAATTGGATAGACTACATAACATAAATAGAGAAGAACCGGGCAGTAGTAAGTGTGTACTGAATTGGCAGCCAACAAAATATTCTCGAGTATGTTCCATTCATTTCGTAGACGGGAGACCCACTTCAAGTAACCCATATCCAACTCTGTGCATGGGATACCGGTATGAAACATCAATCGTATCAAATAAAAGATGCTTGCCCAGTTATAAGGCGTCTTATGCACCAAAATGTAAAAAACGTAGAACTGAAGTTTTGGCTGTTCCCACAAATTTAAATTTCGAACATAATTATTGCCTAAATGCAGATATGGGAAAACTTGCTCAAGTCATCAAAAGTCTTAAGATTGAGAATGCCAAATTACGAGGAAATAATAGAAATTTGAGATCCGAAGTTGCCAAACTAAAATGTTCATTTCGGAAAGTTACTGCTCTACCTCCATTACATACAGACAAGTCCGTGGCATTTTATACTGGGTTTCCTTCAAAAAAAGTTTTAGACAAAGTCACAAACCTTTTAAGAAGCAAGGCACCAAGGACAAACTTTTTAAAAGGCAACGCACCAAGAAAACGTATTATCAGCTCCAAAATCTTAATGTCTGCCCGGATGCATAAACTGAGCTTTTCACAACAACTCATTATGACTTTAATGAGGCTAACACTCGGATTGTTAATCACAGACCTAGCTGAAAGATTTCATGTATCCCAAGCGACTGCATCAAGGGTTATCGGAAATATGTTGAAATTTTTGTCACATCAGATGAAAAGCCTAATCAATAATCCATCACGCTATCATATCATGAATTTACCCCGAAAGTTCAGAATAAGACCATACAATAAAGTCAGGTGATCTTAGATTGTACAGAGTTGTTCATTGCGACCCCAAAGGACTTGCATATGCAGTGTATTACTTGGAGCAACTATAAACACCACAATACTGCGAAATATCTTTTAAGTGTTCATCCAAATGGAATGATTAATTTTTTGTCGCGTGGGTGGGGTGGAAGAGCGAGTGACAATCATATAGTCAAGAATAGCGGTTTTTTGAATTTGCTAGAACCTGGCGATATGGTAATGGCTGACAGAGGATTTCTCATCAGAGATGAGCTTCTCATTCGTCAAGCAGATCTATTGATACCTCCAGTAAAACAGGGCAAGGAACAAATGCCTCTAAGTGATGTGACAGCAACGAAAAACATAGCAAATAGGCGAATTGTGGTAGAGCAAGCCATGGGTCGCCTAAAAAAATTCAAAATTTATGCCAATGTTATGCCAATGAGATGATTCAATCGCACGTCGACAAAACATGATTGACGGCATTCGTATATGTAGACTGGAATCTCAAATGGTAAACAATAACCATAGTTGGCAGTTTAAAAATGTGTTACTAATTGTGCTACGGATGGTTTCTTGTTGGGAATGACAGTTTTCTAAATTTTAACAAGCCGTTTTATGCCCTTAATAATTGGCATGTCGTGAGTTTTGATTAAATAAAAAAAGCCTCTTTGTGCCCTTAATAATTGGCCATGTGGTGAGTCTTGTGACAATATGATGCTGATCCGAAATAAGCAATAGTGCTCGGTCCGTATAAAGTGTGGCCAGCAATTAAAGGGCAGTTGGCAACGCTAGCTACGACAGAACATTTCATGGCTTAAAAATAGTTTGGAAGGGATTACACCCACTGAGCGACTTATATTTTTGACTGTTTTTGACTTTTCAGCCTTCTCAGTCACGTAAATGAAATTTATATATACAACAGTATATGGCAGAACATTCGTTGAAAAAGAACAAGCGTGCAAATATTTGATTATTTCCTCATCGTTTTGCCTTGCACGGAAATTCAGGCGAAATTGAATGAGTTTCTGAAAAGGAACTCAGATATGTCGATATCGAATGGCCTGTTAAAAATTTTAAAAACAGTGACTCCAAACTCGACGCCATCAGTAGCCTAATTAGTAGCACATTTTTAAGCCAATAATTATGGTTATTGATTACCAATTGAGATTCCAGCCTACATTTACGAATGCCGTCAATCATGTTTTGTCGACGTACGATTGAATCATCTCATTGGCATACTCGACCAGTATAACACATGGAAGTTGGTCGCAAGATGGTAAGGGTCATTTTGACGATCCAGTCGTTATTGGAGCGTCGTGGTTCGAAGATAAGTAATTTAAGGGAGGTCGGACAGTGCCTCGAGGGTGGGAAGTTTGAGGCAGATAGTGCAGTGGATCGAGGATAGTTGAGGGAGGTAGGGCAATGAGTCGAGGGTAAAAAGGTTGAAGCGGATAGGATGGTTGGGGGAAGTAGGACAGTGGGTCGAGGATAGGAAGGTTGAAGGAGGTTGGGCGGTGGGTCGAGAATAGGGAGGTGGAGCATTTGGGCGGGGCGAGGGAGATAGGGCAGCGGATCGAGAATAGGAAAGTAAAGAGGGATAGGTCAGTGGGTCGAGGATTTGAGTTGGAATGACTGTAAACTTCACTGGCTCTAAAGTCTATCAAATAAAATTGGCTTCATAACTGCAAATCCTCCCTTAGCAACGAAACATTGCGATAATCCTAAGTGCTGAAAGAGAAACTCAAAAATACGATTTCAATCCATTCATTGCTAGTAGACGGTTTAACAAGTATTTCATGGTTGGCGTAGTATATTAGTCAACTCAAAGGCAAGCAACAATGAACACAATTGAATTGATATGACAAGACATTTTAAATTCACGGGTCGGCCATGGATTGAGCGATGAGTGTTGCTCGGGAATTTTCTATTCGGAACCCCTTCCCTTTTAGAAAACCATGGCTGCTGCGCCCTTAGTTATAGATAATGTTATATTCGAATCACTACCACATTTCGACACCATCGTCGTCAAATTTTATTAGTGACGTTAATGCTTCTTCACAGATACAAAATTAACCAAGTCAGTTTTTTAAGTGAACGAATAGCTCGAGGAGCCCTGAGGCTCCGTACGGAGCACTTATAGCAGTGGGAATCAACGCCCGACAAAAGACTCATCTTCTCACCCTCATCGGATAGAAATACATCACTCCAACCACTGCTATTTAATGCGAGATCTGCATTTGTTTGCTGGCCATTAACGATTTGGAGACTAGTCAATATTGAAACCTTCTCGTGCTATGTCTGGATATTTATCTAACAGTATTGACCAAAAAACGCGACTTATATCGCTTTTCAACTAATTATCATTGGTAATTTCAATGCTCTGTTTAATCGTAAATATATACACTACTATGTTGCCCCTCCAAGTGGCGGGCGTCACGGTTGGTTTTGTTCAGACAAGATGCTTAACGACGACGCCGCTCCTGCATCACAGCTCGAAAACTAGCCCTGTTCATTGATGACTGATCGAAATATTTGCTAAAGGACGAAGAAATTTGGTAAAAATGAACAAATAATTGTGAAAATGAAGACGCAGTCTGTCTTGCAAATGACCAGTATGATGCGACAACTTCCTTGTCGAAGGAAAGCAAGGCATCAAAAATGCGATGCATTGCAAAAAATGTCAGTCAGATGTAGGTAAAGTGGTGACGAAAATGAATACTTTGCACTTTATATAAAAAAAAAAACGCTTAGTAGTACAGCATTTTGGTCTCACTCCATCTCAAGTATTGTAGCTTTCACAGAAGTTTTTTCTCCACTTGACCTATAATCAGGGCTGCCATAACGTCCTTATTTTTAGAATTTGTCCTTATTTTGAAGAAACATCTTTATTTTGACGTGTGTCCTTATTTTTAACCTTATAAATGAATATACCAGTAAATTAAACTTTGGATTTAGTATAGATCTGCAGCTTTTGTGAATGTGACAACAATCTGGAATGCATAGGTAGAGCAGCAATTTCTGTTAATAGTGCAACCCAGAAACACAAGGCTCTGCTCAAGAAATTAATCAAACCAATAAATAAATAACTTTTTTAAGAGTCAATGATTATACAAAGGCTATCTCAACACATGCAAGCAGCTGAAATTTATTTCCATCATCACATCATTGAACATCCGACACTTGATATAAAAGAAAAATATTTTCGAATCATTCATGAGCGAATACCTATTAAACAATGTAACTGAATGTCAAGATGTAACAACACTACTTGAGAAAGTATTCAAAAAAATTTGAGCAAATGTATACGCAAAGTACTGCAGCCAAAATAATAACAACAAGATGGACAATAGGACTCATGGAATACGAAAACAATTGAAGAAACACAGCAGCTAGAACGAAGACTAAGACGTATGTGATTACAGTCAAGTTTCCGTACTCCTGAAGTATGCGTACCAAGAAATGAGGACACCGAAACGTAGTATGTTTACCACGTTAGGGTTAGGCCAAAATTTTATTCCTTTTTCCTTATTTTAGTTCTATTACGAGTTCAGGGACTAACCAAGTGAGTTTTGTAGTATTTGTACCTAAAAGTATGGCCTAACCTGGTACACATACTATGTTCCAGTGGCGGCGCGTGGTCATTTTGACTACCGGGGCAAGCTACTGCGGGACCAAGTCACCCCCATCTACGGGGACGGGATGAGCGCTGTACGTTCTCCCATCATTTTATGACTATAAAAACCATTCCATCGGTAACAACCAATCGGCAAAAGCGACAATTTTTAACGATAAGAAAGTGTCTTTAAAACCGGTCCAAGTCAAGGGATTAATAAATATAGACATAGTTTATTTTGAAACCTCTTTCAAACGGAAAGGCAATATTTACCCAGATAAATACAATGACATATTAACAGAAACTTCGGGAAAGCAGACAAAACCTAAAATAAGGTTTAAAACGTTACTATGAGGAAAGGAAAGAAAATGCAAAGATAAGGACATGCGTCGCTCACTCATAGATATATATGCTGCTAGACTTCTACTGCTTGAACATATATGCAACACGCCGCGGTTTTTTGGAAGCAAAATGCTCAATAACGCGCTGATTAAAGTCATGCATCCCAGAAATAACGTCTCTGTGAATGGATAAAACAGCCAAGGAATCTAATCAACGAACGAGAAGGTATATTAATAGTGGTATTGATGTTTAAGGCTTTGGGAGTGGTTCTTAGTAGAGATGTACCGATACCACTTTTGTCGCCGATACCGATGTTCTTAGTAGAGATGTACCGATACCACTTTTGTCGCCGATACCGATCCGATACCAGCTAAAAACGCCTATGCCGATACCGATACGCCGATACTACAAAAAGGCCGATATTACCGATACTATGTGATTATTACTTAATTAGGTGTGCTGTGTAGGGCAGACGGGTTAAAACAATGGTCTTTGAGCGTTGTTCATAGTACACATTATTTCAGATCGAAAAAAAGAGATATATCACATAATATGAAATTAATGTTTGGTATCCATATGCTTTAACTGATTAAGATACATTGTACAGTAACGCTAGTAATCTCGGTGTTCAATTAGAAAACTCATAAGTCGGGATGTCCAATTTGAATTTAATTTTAATATCGCGACCTTCGAATATCTTTATTCGTGTTTAAAAGAATATCAAATATCGCACACACATTCTAGCGCCGCCGTCCTACGTTCAAATTAAAAGCATTTTACAAATATTTTATTGAGTGGCTAATCGTAATCGTCGACGCAATAAGTCAAAGCCAACATGAAAGAATATCAATCAGCACCGACAAAAAGAAGGCCCACCTATAACCGTCGAGGATATTTTTTACTTTACTATTTTATAATATTTTACAATTGCTATCATATATTTTGAGACAGTCTAGGGCTAGGCGGTCATGTCAATATATCTATAAAGAAATTGTGTAGTTAAACAGAATTAAAATTAATACCTGCGTAGTGAAATAATTGTGTCGGAATTTAGTTTATCGATGTCGACGGACTATCGAATGACACTCGTACTTGACGACAAACAGTCAGAATTTATACCCGTGCCAAAAGTCCATGTGCCGTCAATAAGGACCCCAATTCCACTGTATGATTTAAAACTGGGCGCCTAGTTGTTTTTTGTTATGTGTTGTGTTGATATATTTCTTCATAAAAACTATGTAATATTAAAAATGTCAATATAAAAATTTGACAGCGAAAATAGCCAAATTAGTTGAGCTAGTTTGGCTGATAAATAGCTAAAAACACGTGAATCCTATTCTCTCGCGGGGGTGGGGACATGTATGGCTCATAGCCAGGGTTGCCATCTACCCAGAGCCAAAAATAAGCACGGGCGTCAAAATGTTATTTTTCAAGGGGAGGGGTCTTAACAACGGCAGAAA